TTTTCCTTGCTTGAAGCTTGTTGAAAAGGTCGGTCACTCATGATGGATGATTGAGCTCTATCCTCCTACAATATCCATTCTACTGGCCTCCCCCATTACATAATTATAGACTGATTCAAGTGAGGTCAGTTTGTCCTTTCCTAGAACCTATACTACTCTGAAGTTCAAAGTCAAGATGTACCCTTGCTGAGAACTCAAAGATCCTTCGTTGCTCAACCTGTATTTTAATGTCATCAACGATGGGATCAATAGGATGGTAGTGGTCTAGTTCTTCCCACTTATGACTTATTATCCCAAATTACTCATCCAAAATCATTTCCCCTTGCTGCAAATTCATTGTTTCATGATACAATTGGTAAATCGTAGCCATATCATCACATTGTCGTATGTCTTAGCTACCACCTCTCGTATATCCTTTGCAGTATTAAGAAACAACAATCCTTTGCTGACAATTAACTGTATGGAATGAAGGAGCCATGCCATTATTGTCAATTTCTCACTTCCCCATTGATCATGGGATGAATCATTTGTCGGAGGCACTTTCACTTTTCTTGTAATATAACTCAATTTTCTCTGGCTTCTTATAAACATTTTGGCATATTAAAACAATTCTATGTAGTTTGTCCCATCTAGCTTGACTGTAGTGTTGATCAACCCTATGTGGTCAGATTGACTGAGTCCCAGGGAAATATTATGCTTGATTTCTAAAAATTTCCTTCACTCCAACTTGAAACCTTAAGTTTTTTTTTTTTAAGGTATTAATTTCTTAGTTTCAAAGTTTGCAAATATCCCCTTTTTCTGCTTTCTTTGGGCAAGAAAGATTGGGATATATTTATGTGATTTTTGTGTGGGGTGAAAAAAAAAAAAGGGTCTAGGGTTCTTCACTAGAATTGGAAATATGTAGTTGTTGGAAATGAAAAGAGTTTGGGATAAAAACTTACTTATAGGCAAGGAAAGCGAGATGATCTTGCTGGAAATATTAGGTTGTTGTTGATACACCATAGCTTCAAGCCAAAGAAGAAAGAAAAATTATGATTCTAGGGTCACTGAAAGTAATAAATAGCCTAGGGTTTTTCAAGCCCTGCTCTGACACCAGAATAAGATTGAGAGAGGAGAGAGTAATATTTGTGGTGACTATTATGGGTCCCACACCCATTAAAGAAAACTCCAGGAACCATCATGGATATTTTTTCCACTATGGAAACCTGCATGTGGTGATAATGTCTATAATATTCCATCATATTTGAGAGCTTTTCCTATTGTAATAGTTATCATATTTGGGAGATTTTCCTACTGTAACATTTACCATATTTGGGTGATTTTCCAGTTGTAATAGCTATACATGTTAACCTAGCAATATAGTAACTCCCATAGGGATCTACGTATATATAGAGCATAGTGTCCCACGATTTGTATAGAGTGCAAAGATATCTATATTTTACTCTATCTTGTGCTTGGATGTCACTCTCTCTCTTCTCTCTCAATCTTAGGTTTTGATGAAAATCAAATAGATGATTTAAGAGTAGAACCAAACATACACCACTTCTTGGGGCTTGGCTCTTCAAGTAAAACTTCTAGCATCATAGTGGATAGCTTTGTTTGGGAAAAGAAAGATAGTGTCCCTAAGAGAATCTACGCAAACCAATAGCTACACTAGGTGAGCTCATTCAAAAAGCTCAATCCTCAGGCACAACAACCTTTTGCCTGCAACAGTGAAGTCTTGGTGTGGATGGCATATGCAACACTAAGAATTGAGCAAGGCATATATCATAACACTCCTAACTAGACTATGGAGTCTTTCTATGCTCGTTGCACCCACCTACAATAAATTGGTAATTTGCTAAGGGCCTGTTTGGATTGCACCCAAACCTACGTTAAAGGTTGTTAATTGCAGCCATCAACCAGTCTTTTAGTCCTTTAGAAGCCCATATTTGGTAGGAACCACCAGCAATTAGGTTCCAACGATTAGCGCCATAAATAATTCAAGGTTATTTTATGAAAAATATTAACATGAAGCAGCAAGTTCCAGATAGAACAACTATGTGGTTATCCACGAGGGCAACCAGACCGGAGCAGAATGTGTGATCAAATGGGTGAGTTGTGCCACGAAGGATGCTTAATGCATTGTAGGAAATCTATGATATTACTGACCTGTTAATAAGGGTGGCAACGGGACAGATGGTCGGGCCAGGCCGGGCCTGGGCCAAGGCAAAAGAGGCCTGGCCCATTCCTCTTTTTTTTTTATCTTTTTGCTTTGGTTTCTTTGACTTAGCCCTACCTGGCCCGGCCCAGGTACGACCAGGGCCAAGCTTGGGCTGGCCCTAAGGGGAATAGGGCCGGGGGAGAACCAAGGCTAGCCCAGCCCAGGCCTGGCATGTTGCCAGCCCTACTTGTTAGCAGTGCCCTTTTGTCATCCCCCTGGAGCAGTCAATGGGATTGCCAACCTACCCTATTATTTGAGTCGCACTCTAGGTATCCCTTTGACTCAACCATTGTATCACATTTGCCTATGAATTAATAAAATTTTGCATTTAACACATGTCTCCCTAATTTAAGCCCACCCTACAAAAAATAAAGTCCCCTGCCTTTTCGACGGTATCATACAAACCCATGTTCTTTCTTTCTCATTAAGCCCCTTACAAGATCAAGCCTCCCTCCCTCCCCTATAAAGGACTCTCTCTATAAAGGACTCTCTCTATCTATATAAAGGAGACTTTTACTCATTTAAGAGAAGTATACCTTCTCTCAACCAACATTATCTTCTCTCTCTCCCTTCTCTTGCAAGCAAACTTCTGCTTCTCCAGTGGATTTTTCACTTTTTAAGAGAACTAAATGGCAGTTGGGTTTTCGCTGGTTCACTATGTAATTAAAGTTTCTTCAGAGGTGGGTTTTGTTTCCTTCTCTGGTTTGAAAGTGATTTAGAAGTGGGTTCAAACATAATTGGTAAAGGAATCTAGAATGTTGTTAGAGGCGGTTTTAGTTGAGGGTCTTAATTTTGGGAGATGTATAGACTGCAATCTAGCTTATGATTACACATTTTTTTGTTCTGTGTTTTTTTTGGGCATTTCTCGTTTATTAAGTTCATTATATTTCTTCAAGTTTAGGCCATTTTGTGAAATTTCATATGATTTGGTAATTTAGGTTCGACTTGAGTCTTGAAGTTGAGAAAAAATGTTCGTGTGAAATTGTTTCTTCTTCTCCTTTTTATTTTTTGTAGTCTCTTGGAAGGATGGGAAGAAGATCGAATTCAATGCACATATATGATCAAACGACCATTTTTCCTTGGAATCTTCTAAGTGGATATTTCTCATTCTTTGTGCACTGACATCTTGGTCCCAAATAGCTTTAGTATCCATAACTGGCGATTCATATGTTGAGAAAGAAAAAACAATTATTTGTATGGTCACCAAAACGGTTTTTGTATGGTGAGCTTAAATTAGCAGGAGGGATGGAAATTTCCTAAAAAAATAGGCATCACCTAATTAATATCTCCACTTAGCAAAATGAAGCCATGTTGACACACGAGTGTTGCATGCAATAAGAAACACGTATGAAAAAATTCAAGGGCGCTTGTAGTCACACTCTTGCCATAACATATGACCAGTTTCATTTTTTTCGAAGGGTTCTCCAAATATGCAACTTGTTAGGGAAAAACAATGCAACACGTCTTAGACTCGGGATAAATTTGATGAACCTTAAAAGTTCATATAAATGTCGCTGCTCAATAAGATGAGGACAAATGAACTAACAACTCACTACATATTGTCCATGGCAGCTTGAATAAGAAGTCCAAATTCCAAATCTAATACTTCAATATAAAAGTCAAATCCCAATGATACATGCTGTTTATATTAGTACTTAAGTTTTCAAAGCTCGAACATAAAGCCGTGCTACCCATTATACACGCAAATTCATGAGTGACAACATTTCTTTTGCTGAAGAAGTACCAAAAGCATAACTGATTTACATACATTTGACTGTTTGGGACCTTTGGGTACAATTGTTTATTTTTGTTGGTTAACCAGTAGAGATCTAAGCAAATGCATCGATTGATCAGAAAAGTAGGTGAATATCATTCTTGGCATATCCTCATACTTGTAAGGTTAGGCTTCAATCAGGTATTCCTATTATGCATATGTTCTCTTCTTTTGCAGATTAACTCTTTCCTCCCTCCATTCAAACCATTTCAACTCAGCCAACTTCCCGATGCTTAGTGTTGGTTCTACTCAGTAGACAAATCAAACATGTAATTAAGGGAAAAAAAAAGGCACTATTAACAAGTACTGAAATTCATTCAATCCTAGAGAGGTAAAATAATTATATAAATTCCCTTTCATTACTCAATCTAATTGAGCCCTCTCAACAGGGACTGTCTTCCTAGCCTCTTAGCTTCAAATTTCTATCTTTCAAATCCTCCTTAGAGCTTCTTGTACTTCTGTTTCAATGTCATGGTTATCACACCTCATCTAGTTACCATTCCTTTATTTATTCACCATCCTACATCCAAGAGCACTCTTCCTCAAAGGAAACGTGAAGCACTTGAGCAAAATCAAACTTGAGATAATATGCCCTTTCCTACCAGTAAGAGAGGTTAAAGTAGAATAATAAGGTCGAGGCCTTAGCATACGAACCATCAAAACAAAGAAGGCTCAATTGGCAACCAAGGGACCTATGGAAGGACCATGGGGAGAGAAAAACACAATACATCAATTGGGGACTTTCGTTTTTTCGTCTGCCTACCACGTGTTTAGTGGCATTAACATGAAATCTTGATATCATGCTATCGAATGCAGAAGGTGTCACACATTAACCACAATCCAAGTGGTTGGATAGGATCCAACATGCCCCCATTCCACGCAGATGTAAAGAGATGAGGCGCATTTCAAGTCAAAATAAAATAGAATTATTTAGGCCAGTAAATCCATGATCCAAAAGCAAGGAAATATAGTGAATAACAAAGAGAAAAGAAAGAAAGAAATAAGGAAAAGCAACAGACTCACTCTCCACATCCAGCTCAACGACCTTGAAGTTTGCTCCTAAATTCGACAGAAGCTGCTTCACTTGCACACAGTATGGGCAATAGGTCTTGCTGCAAAAACACATGAAACCACAGTCTTAGTAAGATCCGATACATTATGGTTTTGGTCTTTTTTTTTTCTTGCACATGTGATTTCTTACAGTTAGACCAGAACTCATAAATCCAAACTCTCCCATTGGAACAATATGCTAGCAACAAAACTGAAGCATGCTGAATGAAGGAAAGAAGTTTTGGATATTTCATCTGGAAATATAAGCAACAATAACATTAATCGAGATAAAAGATTGAACAAATTGTATATAACAAATTAAATAAAAATATATCTATTTGTGGTTTAAGAGAAGAATTTGGGAAAATAATATAAATTGAATTCTTTGAAGAGAATCAAGAATGCAAATTCTTTGAGGTAATGAAAAACTAGAGTTGGAAAATTAAAGAAAGTGTAGCGAAAAACCAACTTTGAAGTAGCTTGAAGCGGAATACAGGAAGCAAAATACAGGTACAAAATTAATATTGGCTCAGAAAAATTAAAACCAAAGAAACAACTTTAAATTCTCCCCGTATTAAAACCTATTTTTCCACAATAGAACATTAAGAATCCCAATTTACCAGCTAGTCCAAAAGATATTCAATAACAAATAACTATTAACCCAATATTATTCCCAAAAAAAAAAGACGACAAGAATCATGAGTGTCACTGTTGTTCACTCATTGGAAATCCATTGGTAGATTTTAGCTAAATCATCCAGAAATTTCCAGAAAAACCCTTTGAATATGATAACTTACCCAAGAAAAACAAAATAATCTGATTTACAATTAGGACACCAAAAAAAAAAGAATCCCAAAATACCAGAAATTCGCAGAACCCATTGGATTAATTACAATAATTACATATACAGCCCAAAAAGGATCCAAATCCACTACGAAAATCACATTGAACCGCTCAAATTGCCTAATTGCATCAAAAGAAAACCCCAACAATCCCAAAAGAAAAGGAAACCTAAAATCAAAAGAAAACAGATCATAAAAATAGGATTATGAAAACAGAGTTACCTAAAAACAACAACTGGGTTGGAAGAGACGATCTCCTTTGCCTTTGAAACAGCCATTGCAACGCCTTCTGAGTTTCCGCTTGTCCTGCTACTGAGAAAGCCTCCCATATAGAGAGAGACAGACGAAAGATAGGCTAATAATAGATGGGGCCGCAGTCCTCAAAGCGCGACGAATAGAAGGGGCCGCAGTCCTTAAAGCGCGCGCACAGAAGTGTGTTACGCTTGGACGCCAGACCGTATGAAGTATGAACGGACGTATCAACTATTATGATTCTATGAAGCTATAGTTGGCGGAAAAGGTCATAATAAATACACCTACAATGAGCCTATTCACTTTTGAGCCTATTCACTTTTGATTAAAGGTGGTGGCAATTAATCTTAGGCATTGAATGTTTATTCCATTTACCGGGCTCAAAGCTGAAAAGAAATTTTTCAAACTTTATGAGACATTCAAGCTACCAGATTTTATATCGCATAGTTATAAGTGACTTTCTTATACTAAAAGTAAATGTTCATTTACCTTAAAAAAATGGTAAATGACCTCATTATATATTGTGTATATTGTCTATCATGTTAATATGAAAAGTATATATTGTAATATGTGTATTTGGGAAGAGTAGATACAATATCTTATATTTATAGTAAATTGTTGTCATTTATAATTTATCTATAAAAGATAAGTATGTATATTTATATGTTTAATGGATACTGAGTCTTTTTAGAGAAACCTGAGACTCTTCACATGATATCAAAGCCAGATTCATCTTTGTTGTGTCTATTTATCATTTGAGCTCGCACCTCATATCTGAGTTATCTGTTGAATCGTGTTTTGACTATCTGATATGCCCTCTTTGTCGAGTCGTGTTGCCGAGTCGTGTTCGACTCTCTGATCTATCCTCTCTGTCGAATCATGTTTCAACTCTATGTTGAGTCGTGTTTCGACTCTTTGATTTGTCTCTATGCTGAGTTGTATTTCAATTATCTGATCTATTTGATCTCTTCCGCCTCTTTTTGTTTCTTTCGAATCCTCTGATCTGAGCCCCACTATCAAGTTGTTTCAGAACAGTCGATCAACAATCTGAGTGGGCTGTCAATAAATAAATAAAAATTTGCTTGGGTCCTATTGCTTCTGTTAAGCTTATGTTCCCAAAACTTTGCTCTGCAAATCCCATTCCCAATATTTGCTTCCCCTACAAATTCATCTGCAAATTCCATTTTGTATCTCATTTGCTTCCACAATCCTATCCACCTTCAAAGCAGTTGTTGTCCACTGTTGTTCGGTATTGCCTCTTAGCTTTTCTGTTTTGTGTCAGGAATTTCTACCTGTTTGATTGAGCCTACTCTGATATAGCCCTCAATTCCTGTGGCCGTCTGTTCTTAAGGTTTGTTGATCCGCCGCTACTTTATATACTTGTTGATCAAGCAATCTGAGCATGACAACCATTGTTTCTACTGGCCATGCTATGCACCTGAAGATCCAACTGTTCGTTTCTACAATTAGTGTTCAAACTCCAACTGCTTTCTCTTATAGCATCTTGAGTTTGAAGAAGAGTATGAAAGGAAAGAATATATTGTCTATAAAGTTAATATCGAAGGTGTATATTGTAATATGTATAGTTGGGAAGGGTACATACAATATCTTGTATTTATGGTAAGTCTCGGTATAATATAAGATTTACTTTTATTATTGTTATATGTAATTTGTCTATAAGAGACAAGTGTGTATATTCATATGTTTAATGAACACTGAGTCTCTTTAAAGAAACCTTGACTCTGTACAAATACGATTCCTACAATAAAGCTTGGGCTTCATAAAAAAAAAATAAGTAAAAACTTCAACTCAAAATCTATCAAAATTGGAGTTTGGGAAAAATTTAAAATCCATCATCGGGGCCTTTGATGTGGCAACAGGTTGAGCCTTAGGCCAGCCCAGGGCGAACCATGCTAGGCGTCTCTTACATTGGCCCAAACCTAGCCCTTAGGACACATTTTGTGGCCCATACCTTTAGGGTCGTGCCAATGGGGAAGAGCCAAGCCACTTGGCCCATTACCACCTACCTAAATATTGTAGTTGTGAAATAATTGGAATTTCAAAACCTAAACATAATATATATTGTAATTCATGTTCTAGACCGTCCATTTTCAAGTGTTCACGTATATCATTTTTTTAGCTACAAATTTTATAATTGGCGGTGAACGGTGATTTTAGAGCCATTAAAGACACTCCTCATGCCCAAAGTGTTTTCAAAAGGAGTTTTCGATGGTGGACAAAGGTTTAAAGAGAATGACCATGTTTTTCTAGTGAGTCCGCATAGTTGCATATCTGCTTTGGTTTTGATCATTTTGGCAACTGCTGCCAATCTCTTTATGTCTCATAAGTTGGGCTTATGTGGCCTTTAAAGGCATTCTGAGAGTTTGTATGAGGCATTATATATAATGAATCATAAACTCATTGGGAGTGTGGTCCTCTTATGGATTATACTAGGTAAATGTAATTTGTCGATACTCAGACTAAGTTTAACATGCTAGGCCAGCTGAGTTAGAAACCCAAAGTACCTAGGCATAGAGATGAAACCGAAGAGGGTTTAGTGGATTAGCCCTTTATGAGGTCGGAGTATGCCTGACAGAGAACCAAGTGATTGTATAACCCTTATGTGATGAATGGTCTATAGAGACATGATTAAAACTTCATCATTGTATCATCACACGGCATGTACATAGATAGCCGTATTGATAATAATCCACCATTGAAGGTAAAGCGTGTACATGTGCAAGAGATTATCTCTATGGATCATAGAGTCATAGTTGCATCATGGTCTGACGGATCATGGTTTGTCTCTAAGGGAGAACCTGAAATCCACAGACTGTGATTATGTCCCTTAGCCCATTGATTGACTTTGGCGGTCCAATCATGAGCCACTGCAGTGGACTGTGGGGTCACAAGAACTACTTGGTTAGTTTGAGAAAGCTGGTGTGGATCGTGGTCCACAGTCGAAGGTGGAATGCTCCTATGCGTTGACTAAATCTTAGACCTATTCGGATATGATTCCCATCAAAATTAATATAATTTAATTAATTTTATGTTATTTGACATTTAGAATGTTTATTTGAATTTTTATGAATCTTCTGATATTTTAATTTTGTCATTTGGATTGATAAATCAAGAGAAATTCATTTATAAAGTTTTAAATAAACTACAAGGTTTGAAAAATCTAAAAATCAATTTTTATTGTTTATAAAATATGTGGGACCCTCCATAATTATTGGAGGCCTATTTAAATCACATGGGACAACTGGGTGCGGCCCATGAGTGGACACCAAGGGGTGGCACGCCCTACCCATATTGTCTTTCTTGCTAAATATTGTGAGAGGCATCTCAAGCTAGTTGGCTTTCCTTTTGTGGAGAGAAGTCTACTTGCAATAAAGGAATGAAATATGTGGTTGTAAAAAATATTGAGAATCAAGAAGGTTTAATTGATAAATAAGGAATGAATATTTACTATCAGAGAAAGTAAAAAAATTATATTTTCTTTATTTGACTTATTTGATGGGACTATATTTAGGAAGGGGAAGATAAGGTTCTAACACCTTCCTTAGCATCTTGATAGTGGATCTAGGGAATGAATGACTCACATCTCTCACCCCACAAGTCTCTTTAGATTGACGGTCAATATTTGCTCCTACGATTCTATGGCAAACCCTAATGCATAAAAATCTATAAAATTGATCATTCTCCTCCCTTGTCTCAACACAGCTTACTTATTCTTTCTTCTCTCTCTAAAATAGAATCTCTCTCTAGCCTCTCTAAGGGGCACACTCCACGTAGGTTACTCTCTCTTTCTCTCCAAGAAACCTAAAGGGTCGCGCCCTACCTTAGCCTTACCTCTTTCACTCACACAAATTATCCAAGGGGCCACTCCCAAGCTAGGCTAGGTTAAGCTTAAATCTCTCTTATGGGTTCTAAATCAAGCTAGGTTTTGATTATGTGATTTTGAGAGCAAGAAAGGGATCATCCATATCTAGTAGTTTTCTCCCTCCGTTCTTGATTTGTATTTCTCATTAGGATCAAGCCAAGGGGGATTGAATTAGGTCTAAGCATTGAGAATTTCGGTGGGTGGTTCTAGATTGGGATCTATGTGCATTGTTTGGGTTTTACCATAAAAATGAGCAATTAAGATAAAGATCCCAAACACCATCGGAAGGAGGAGACTCGGCGTGGGGTGTACTAAACCTGGTTGAGGTAATCTCCTGCACTCTCTTTTGTTTGTTCCATATTTATTTATTATATCTTTTATTCCCAAGCATAGATCATCCTTTATTTGTTATTGAAAGAAAGATTTTGAATGACTTCAAGTTCTTGAGATCCTATTGTATTCTTATTCTTTTATTTCATTTTATTTGAAGTTATTATATTGTAAAAGGATTATATGTAAGTGATCTAGACTGTGAAGAAAAGAAAAAGAATTGAAAAAGAAAGAAAAAAATTATTATATACTCCCGCTAGATCACACGAGTTTTTCTTTCATCATACCATACATAAATTTGGAGCTCACAATGTTATTGTAAACATTTGTGAGAACAACGAAATAATATAAGAAAATTAATATTAATATCTGTTTTCTAATATTTAAAAAGCTTCTTCAAAATTTTGAATTTCACATAGATGTTCCTTTTTTTTATTCTATCTTTTCCCCAATTTCCCATTAGTTTGGCACTCTGCTCCAAATTGTGTTGAAGTTGGTTTTTGCAAAAAATGTTGTTTATACTGAGAGTACCTAACATATACATGCATCTAACAAAGTTAGATATAAGAGCACCAAACAAATATAAAAACAATAAACAAAAAATTCAATAGTAAATAACGACAATAGTTTAGTACTAAGAGTACAAAATATAACATGTAAAAGAACAAATTTGGAATTACTTAAAGGCATGAATCTGTTTGGTATATTTAGTATTGAGCAATATTTTTTTCAAAATCAAATTCAATACAATTCGGAACTGAGAGTACCGAACTAATGGGCATTTTGGAAAAAATAGAAAGGAACATTTTGTAAATTTCTCTTAAAAGAATATTTATGTTAATTTCTCAAAACTATATAAGATGAATTTGTATTACAATCCATTATACATAAGAAGGATATCTTTAAGGCATACTATTATTTACATAAAAAATAAAGAAAAATTATTTGTAATTTACATAAATTAAAGCTAACAATATGATTTAAATAAATA